CTGACAGACATATCAAACCCATTAATTAACACCTACGAGCAGTCTGTTCCTCACTGTGCTCTGCCCATCTCATCAATCTCGCTCAAGGCAGAGCAGCCTCTAGACGAGCCTGAGAGGAAACCAATTGTCTGATTATTCAGCATTTGTTAAGATTGGACACGGTGCCTTTGATAAATATTAAACCCTGACCAGGGACAAAAGATGGAGGGCGGGAGGCGGGGGGAAGCTTAGCTCTGCTACTCACCCACCTCACAGCCACCAGAATAAAAAAGCTTTTCCAGACCCGAGAGGAGGAGGCCATTTTGCTTCCACTCTCTTCCTGGAGACAGGTGGATGCTGCACCTAATGAATCATCTCATGCCAGTTTCTTCTCCTGTTGCTAGTTTGGGATTTGCTTACATTTGGAGTCGGAGAAGGTGCTTTTCTTGTCCTGCCTCTGTGCTTATTCTTCCCCTTCTTGTAGTGGCCTTGAGACTGGTCTTCTTGCCAGTTCCAAGCTCTCATTGTGTTTAAAACCTAGCTCAACACACTCCTAGGAAACTATTTTAAGGAGCAAAGGAAGGAGGCTCTTCTCTGTTTTGCCCTGCCCAGGAAGAGTTTCATATGTAAGCCTTCAGACTCCCTTGGATAGAGACTTGGACATCTTTAATGCACCAAGTCCTCAAATCAAAGTGCCCAAGGGGAAGCAGAGAAGGTGCCTGGGGAGCTGAGAAGTCAAGTGCTCTCTGTGGAGGCGGAGACAGGAGACAGCTAGCTTTGTGGATCTGCTGAGTACATATACTTCCCACGTGTCTCATCCGACAGGTATGCACATGCAGGGAACCTGCTTTTCTTTCCCTCCTAGGGTCAATCTCAAGGGTTTCCAGTCCTAATCCTGGCTTCTTCTCTGCCTTTGGATTCCACGGTCTTGTTTTTTTATTCACATAGAAGGGTTACTGTCCCTCCATTCCCACAGTTAATAGAACTCAAGGGTGGAATCCCACGGTTTGTAGGTGACAGGCTTACAGCTACATTCGAACAGGAGCTTCCTAGCACCCCATGCTTTATCTCAAAGAATGAAGTCCACCTCAGGCCTCCTGGTGGGTGAGCTGACAGGTTTATCTGGGTGGCATACTGGGGACAGAAGCGCCTACTTTTCTGTGTTGGGCTAGCCACATGCGACCAGGAAGCCCCAGGTCTCACTTCATTCATCACCCAGTCCCCATGTGGGCCCCATCTCCGACACCTGGGAAATCCGCAGGATCAGGGAAAGCAGTGGCTGGTGGTGTGGCAATTCTGCCTGGGACGGGGAAATGATGTAGGCAAGTTCAGCATGAGCTGGCCCAAGTGGCTTTGTACTCCGTCATCTCTAACAGCAGCCTGCATGTTCCCTAGTGGTGTCTGGGGGACTCTCAGGCCAGGAGAAGGTAATGGGCAGAGGAAGAGGGAAGCACTATGGAGCAGGGCTGGGGGACTTTTCCTTCTAGAAGCCACCAAATAGTATCTCATGGAGTTGGCCAGTTGCCACATTCACTAGAAACCTGAGAGATGATCTATACTGTTTAAAAACAGACAAACATATGAGAGAACCAAGGCCAGTAAGTTTTCCCATGTGGGCTTGGCAATGGCAGTACAGGGATGAGAATCTGGCCATTGCAATATCTACCCCAGGACCCTTTCTGAGGCAGCATTTAGCCCGCTTCAGTGTTTAAACACTTAAAGTTATTATTCCAAAATTAGGAACATTGAATCCCTCCCTCATCCTTAGCTTCTCACCCCACTGTGACCTTCCAGTGATGGAGGCACTAAATGATGGGGCGAGGCGCTATTTGCCCTGTGGTCTGTGGGTCACTGCGGAGATGCAGGAGCAAATGGCTGTGCCCTGCATCCATGGAGGACTCTCCAATGGGCACTTGACACATTCCTGGTTTGAACAGCTAACATGGGAGAGGAGAAGGGAATCTTCGTATCCGGACTTTGAGATGGGGGAGTGGGGGCCAATCCCAAGAAGTTCTATTTTATGCGGTAGAGAGAAACAGAGCACACCAACCAGAATGGACAAGTCAGGCTGAAACCATCGGCACTGACACTTAAGGCAAAGTCCCCAAAATATGATTGCTACAAGTAGGGATGTCTAAAGGTTGCCCCAATCCCTGCAATGTCAAGAAGAAAGGCCACTACCTCTGTACCACGCCTCTTGCTAACAAGGGCTCAGGCCACCGAGACGATGTGGTGGCTATTTCTAGACTGTAAGAAATACGCCCCGAGGCACACATGTGTATTCCTTTCAGGGGATGCCATTGTGTTCAGCCAATGGTGAAACATAACACTTGTTCGGTGAATGGCACGTGCTCATGTGTGTTAACCCCAAAGCAGGCACACTTCACGTCCAAATGCAGAGGGATGGTCAGTTTGTGGGCAGAAGCCCCAGTAAAGTCTGTGTCAATTTTACAGGTGGACGAAGAAATGGTCTCGGAAGGGGTGCTTTGGAGGCCAGGCCACCGCCAAGCGGCTCTCTCTGGCCTCGACGTACCTTTCTCAGCTCGTCCTTCTCCTTGGTGTGGGCGTCCTCCAGGATCTTGCGCTCTGAGTGGGCCCTCTGCAGCTCCGCCCGCAGGCTCTCCACCTCCTCCTGCAGCTTCAGGCTGCCGTCCTCACCTTGGCTCTGCTGGTAGCGGGCCAGCTCCTTCTTCAACTTCTCTACCTCCATGGTGTGTGTGGAGGTGACTGCCGACAACTGCTCCGACAGAGTCTTGAACTCTTTGTTCTGTGAGAAAGCCAGCAGAGAGGGAGAGGTGGAGAGTAAGGTTGTTGGGGCAGGAAAAAAAACAGCAAAGCAAAAAAAAAAAAAAGGAACTTCCAAGGTGGAATTAAATCTCACAATCACTGCATACTTGAGTGCTTTCCCAGCATCCCCCCTGACAGAACCCTATTGTGAACCCAGGAGAAATACAGGAACAGAAAAAACACCAAAGCTGACATTCAAGAAGTATTTCTGAGCGAGGGCAGAGCTGGAAGCTGGCTGACAGCAGTTAGCCTTCTACGTTTAGCTGGACAGACCTTGCAGCCAATTTTAAGTTGTGGGAACAACGTAGCTGGCTTCCTGGATCTGCAGCCTTTGCTTTTCAGGTTTTCTTGCTCTTTTACACAGGGCTCTCCTGCCCTTGGACTTGCTGGCACAAAGAGTTGCAACCTAATCGCCAGCTCAGAGACAAAGGACCCCTTCAGTATCCCCTCCTCCAAGGAGGCCCTTTACAGGGCCCCGGGGTCCCTCTCACCACCTGTCACCTCACCCTGTAAGACTCTGACTCCACAGACTGATGCCCTGGCAGATTCGTCCATGCTGTGCCCCTGCAGATTGGGCACCCAAGTGAACAACAGGAAAGTGAGAAACATCCCCCCACGTGCCTGGTACAGGTTTGAAAGGGCACTACAGAAGGGCTCACACAGAGGAAACACGGGGGACCTAGGGCCAATGTCAACTGCTCGTGTCAACATGGGCAAAAACTGGTGCTGCAGGACTTGAGAGCACCCGCTGAAAGGGGTCTGTGGGGAAAGTGAAGTAAGGCTCTCCAAGCAACCAACAGCCACTGATTATTCTTCATTGCTATTCTCTGTGGGAGCTCCAAGTAGACCAGAGCTGTTGGTTAAAATACCAATACACTGGGGCATCAGGAATCAATTACTAATTCACATCAGAAACGAAGCTTCACGGAAAGCCGAAGAATGTCCATTGGGCCCAGTGCACGATGCCATTCGTGCTGTGGGACCTCAAGCCTGGGACCTGCTGTTGGCGTCCAAGTAGAACATGTCCTGTTTTCATGTCACAGAAAGAGACTCTCCTACAGTCCAGGGAAATCCTCCGATTACAATAGGAAATGCCCTTATGTCTGGTCTGGCAGCCAGCGCTGCTTGAAGTAATCATGAGAAATCCAGTTAGGTGTCATCCATTTAGAAAACTCAATCCTGCCTGTACCCACCCCTGCCCTGGTCTGAGTCCTCTGCCTGGAGGCTGAAAGGTCTCTGCACAAGGGGAGTGGACTCAGGGAGGGAGTGTGTGGTGGGTTAGCCATGTCCACTCTTCTCCACTCCAGACTGGCAGTTAGGTTCAGCCCAACGGTCACCTCCAGGTGGCACAGCTGGCTCAGATCATCACAAGAGTGGAGCAGAGGACTGGGCTCTAGGGGTTTCCGACTGGAGTTAGTGTGGAGTATGGAAGAAGGCACAAAATATGGTGGTGGTAGCAAGGGGCACAGGTACCTCCCACCCCTCTGTAGACTCTCAGGGAGAACTATGTTCTGCAGATGACATCATCCTGCCACAGACACAGAGGACACCCTAGCACCCTCATGCAAAGATAACGTGACTCTCCAGGAGGTCGACTCTTCGTGGATGCTAACATCCAGGTGGACATGGGACTCGGGGAAGTCAGGATGTTAAGAGTGGATGGAGGCAGACAGACTTGTGTTCAGATCTCAGCTCTATCCCTGATCAGCTGCATACGTCCGATCAGATCACTCGACTTCTCTGTGCCCCAGTTTCCTCATATGTGGAAGGGGGACAATGGTAAGCCCTTCCTTGGAGTTTCATCAAGCCCTTCCTTGGAGTTTCATCAAGATTCAGGGATATCCTGATGCCTGACACACAGTAAGTGCCCCATAAACGGGAGCTGTCTTCTTTGCTCAGTCTGAACTCTTGGCTGATCACCTGAGGTGGTGGGGAGATTCCTAAGAGCAGCACCTGGGCACCTCCCTAGGTCATCAGCAGCATCCAAAAATCATTGCTGGGGACTCACTACAGCTGCACATTTTGTGCTCTGCAGGCATGATTTCAGAAAGGAAGACCCCAGAAGGACCCAGCAGTTTCCCATCTTATCCTCATGCCATGAGGTCCATATCAGGTGCCCATGGCTGTGCAGCCAAGCCTGACACGGGGTATGTATGGGTGGAAGGTGGGGACTTGCTCCCCCATAGACCCTAGAAACCCTCCTTACAATGGCGGCTAAGCTCCTCAGAGCTGCCTTTGTCAGTAGGACCTGGAGAGCTGGCCCACTCTGTCCTGCCCCAGTGAAGGCCCTTTCCTAATACCAGAATCTGGGGATTTCCAGACAGACCCCTATTCTCCTTGGGTTCCTCAGATATCCTGAGAGGATGCTCACCCTGCCCCTACTACTGAAGGGCACAGATCTGTCCTCAACTGCCAACAAGGAACTTGTTTGGGAAGGTAACTTGAGACTCTCCTATTTGTTACTCTTTCAAAAGCTTTTTTTCCCTCTCAAAGGTCTGCTTGGCAAGATTTTTTAGGCTTGAAGTATTACCCCACCTGAGGGATATGGCATTCACCTGGTCCTCTAGTCCATGATCCCAAGACCTGTGCTGACCTCTACAGCACTTTTGTATAAACCAGAAAGGGCACCACCTCCAGGGAGGAAGGAGATCCACAGAGCTGCGTCTCTGCATGGACACAGCTGCAGGGGTGCACAGATTCCACAGGGCAGCAATGCTCCAGGGCTCACAGTCAGATGAGCAGAGCATAGGATGGTCTTCAGCCCTATTTGTTCCCATAGCCAACTATCCTTGTGCAGTGAACAACCTGCCGAACTGTATGGAAGAGGCTTCAAGTAGTTCCCAATTAATGGTCTACAGACCCCTGGGGAAGGAGGTGAGGAAATCATTGCAAGACTATCTGCATCATGAAAAATAACATGTTTCACATGTGCTACCAGCACTCAATTGGGTGCTTACTATGGGGCAGGCACTGTACTACATAATTCACATATACTAACTCCATCCAATTCTCAAAATCCTATGTAGTGAGACTGATTCATAACCCCATTTCAGTTAAGGAAACTGAGGCACTGGAGGCCAGAAAACTGTGAATTATGCTATTTCTCAAACGTACTTGGATGCTCTTGTGAATCATAAAATAACTAATTTAACGTATCTACTGAGTGTATACTAAATATACTGAACCAGTCTGATTTAAAAGGCTACTAACTGAATCCATATGATTCTATCATATTTTTTCAGATAAAACATTTAAATACAGCATTGTACTCCTAAAGGTCTAAAACTTGACCCTCATTATAAAAGAAAAATTGTAGGTTCAAATGGCCTACTCACTCTACATGTTGTATCTGAATAAAGGCAGAATTGTAGACAGCCAAGTTCATAGGCTACATCATTTTGGCTAAAAAATGTCACAGCACAGGCCTGCATCAGGGACAGTGTAAGAAACGGCCCCAGGAACTGTTACTGTATTTACCGTTTAAAGATATTCTGAAGTAGCAGTTTCTGAGATCACAGATTACAAAAGCCCACAGGAAAAAGTTTCAGTACAAGGGACAGCTCCAATCCTCTTCCACCAGTTTTTCTCTTAAACTCTCAAATGATCCTATTTCCTCCTTTCTGGTTGCTTGGGAACTTGGTGCCAATTTTGTGTCTTGTCACTTTAGTTCGGTGCACGAAACCTTAGCCATGAATTTTGGCACTAACCTTACCCTCGTGTTATCCTTCAATTTCCTCCTTTGCTGACTCCTTGACACTGGGAATACTTTTAAAACAAAACAAAAAAACTCCACCAGGTAATCTTATAGTGCAGCCTGGAGTTGGCAACCACTACTTTAGCCACATCATAGCATCGGTTAATTTTTGAGCTAGAGGTTACTTTAGAAATCTTAGGCCAATCTCCGCTTACAGATTCAGCCGTAATCCCAAGCTGTCAACTCTGGTACAAGTGTAACTGAGACAGAACTCAGGCCCCCATCCAGCTAGGATTTTTGTCCACTACCCCATGCTGCTCTGACAAATACCTTGGGACGTCTTTGCCTGTCCTCTCCTTCCGGCTTAAGAACCTCGTGTGTCAGGAGAACAGTGACCAGAGTTGTCTCTGGGCATTACACAAAGAACAGAAAGACAATTCCAAATGGCCAGCCCCATCTGCCAAGAGACTTCAATAAACAAGCATCTCTGAAGACCTGGTACCAAGATTATGGTGATGCCTCCTTCTCACGAAAGAATGTCAAGCATGTTTGATACCGGGTCACACACCCCACTGTAGAAGACCAACTGGTCCAAGGACAATGCCATCTATATGTGAATGAACCCAAAACAAAGCTAAGAGTCCTCCTCGGATTGAGGAATTCTCTTAAGTCAAAAGAATCTCCTAATGTGCAGATATCCTATAATTTGGTTGGGGACAGAACCTTCTCTGGAGCCAGACTGCCAAGTTTTTCAATCCTAGCCATGCTACTTACTAGTGTGTGACCTTGGGCAGGCTGCTTAGCCTCTGTGCCTCAGTTTAAAGTGGGGATGAGATTATCTCACAGGGTCCTGGTGAGGATTACATAAATTAATACAGGAGAATGTGCCTGGTACATAGTTGGGCAATGCAGGGAGGGGTACCAGGAAGCAGGATCTAATCCACCCCTTTTGCCTCTTCTGATCACCCTCTGCACGTAGGGCAGCCTGCCCAGGGTGGATAGCACCTGCCACCACTCACAGATGTTTGCCAAGCAGGAAGCTTAAGGCAAAAAGCTCTTTTAAAAATAGGCCTTTTAAATCTGCTTCTCTTTGATGTTCCAGCACGTGGGTTGTAAAATATCAGATTTATTTTTAACCTCACCAGTTAACTTCAGAAATCAGCAACGCCAATGCAGGGCCCTGGGGCTGGAAACCAAGGGCTGTTTACTCAGAAGGTTAATTGGCAAATTTTAACCATGCAAATGTCTTTTGTGGTCCGTGATCAATGGCCAGAACAACAACAGCGACAATAACAAAACCTGGGCCCGTCCCTGTACTTGAGTTTTTCAAATGGCCAATCCTTTCCAGTCCTATCCCTCTGGGCAGATGTGCCTTCATCCACGACTGGGCATTATCACTGCAGGCCGACCAGGGGCAGGTACCTAGTGTCCTCCACCCTGCACTTCAACTTGCTGTATTGCTAAGTACTCAAGCAAAACAGACACCCTGTTGAACTCACATCAGGAACGTAAACATCCAGGACAACAGCTTCTTCTTGAGAAGACTGGTCTTTGCAAGAGCAGAGAAGCAAGGACATTTTACTACCGTCTATACAATACTTCTGGACTGTTTGGGGTAGGTGGTTTAAGTATAAAGTGGCTTATTTTCTTGACCTATTGGGGTCTTGTGAAGCTTAAAAAATGCCCAGCCTAGAATAGATGCAATACAAGGGAGTGACCTCCAGGGCAGTGCCTGGTGACTCCAACTCGGATTCTCTCTCAACACTGCACAAACACACTGTGGCATTCTTTGTGTTCTTCTCCCTCCCTTTCCCCTGTCCTTTCTCAGGAGGTGATTGAAACCCTCCAGGCCACTGCAGGAGCCTGCTCCTATGGTCATCTTACTACCCTGCATGAGGCAAACTAACTGTGAGCCTGCTTTCAACGCTGGGAACCCATATTAGCAAGGACAATACACAGGGAAGGGCTAACAGTTTAGTGATGTTTGCGGTTAAGAAAACTAGCATCATCCTCATTATGGCTGTGGGATCAGACAGATCGGGCTGGAATGCTGGTTCTAGAACTTTCTAATTCTGTGACCTCAGCAAGGTATTTAATGTCCCTGATCCACAATTTCCTCATCTGTAAAATCACTTCACAAAGTTGCTATAGGATCAAATGAGAGTGAACATAAAACACTGATCACAGGGCGTGGCACGTGAGAGTGCACAGGAAATCATCAGGGTAGTGGATGCTGTTGGCCACACTACCTTAATATTGTTCCCTTGCAATACAGCATCCATGTGTGTCAAAGTCATCCTCTGCTCACCAAGCCTAACGAAGCACCAGAAACTGTCAAGCACCAAGTTGTTCCAAAGAGGAGAATGAAGAAGATTGGCCACTGGAGCCACCAAAAAAGTGGGTGTATGGGAGTGTGTGCACACATGCCTTTCTCATCTTTCCGACCTGGTGGGGGGTGTCGAGCATCCTGGGCTTGTTTCGGATTCCCTGCAGTGCCCTGCACAATACCCCACACACCCATAGAGACCTGACCAATGACTTGTCACTTGTGGGACTGGTTGAGAAGGTGGTTAGGGTAGGAAAAGGAAAAAGCATAAATATAATAGTGGTAACCATTTCCTGGGCTCCCTAGTGCATACCAGATCCTTTGTGCATGTTCACTCACTCTTCTTCCAGCCCTAGAAGCCCCATTTTATGGATAAGAAAACTGAGGCATGGAGGGATCAGGTCACTTGGTTTCTAAGCAGCAGAGTTGAATGTGAACTGGATTCTTTCGGATTCCAAAGCATGTGTTTTTCCCACCACACAACGCAACAGAGGCCAAAGAGCCAAGTGGTAAAGAACATGGGCTCCAGAGCCAGACCAGTGGGGTTCAAATCATGGCCTTCCAAGGTCACCTGTGTGACCTCCACCTGTCAAGAATGGAGGATGATGCTATTCACCTTATGGGGCTGTTGTGAGGGTTAAACAAGTTCATAGAAAGCACCAGGACAGGGGCGCCTGGGTGGCGCAGTCGGTTAAGCGTCCGACTTCAGCCAGGTCACGATCTCGCGGTCCGTGGGTTCGAGCCCCGCGTCGGGCTCTGGGCTGATGGCTCAGAGCCTGGAGCCTGTTTCCGATTCTGTGTCTCCCTCTCTCTCTGCCCCTCCCCCGTTCATGCTGTGTCTCTCTCTGTCCCAAAAATAAATAAATGTTGAAAAAAAAAATTTTTAAAAAATAAAAAAGAAAGCACCAGGACAGAGCCTGGCAGGCAGCGAAACCTCCCCATCAACATCAGCTAAGATGACTACCCCAGGCTGCCTCTACAAGGGCAGGAGACCATGATTTTGACTACTGTAGTAACAAATTACCATAAAGTTACCAATACAAATCTATTACCTCATGGTTCTGGAGGTCAGAAGCCTAAAAGGGGTCAGAGCAGGGCTGTGTTCCTCCTGGAGGCTCCAGTGGGGAATTCATGTTACTGCTTTTCTAGTTCCTGGAGGCTGCCTGCATCCTGGGCTCATGGCCCTGCCTCACTCCAACCTCTGTCACCACATCCTTTCTGAATCTGACCCTCTTGCCTCCCTCTTGCGAGGACCCTTGTGAATACGCTGGGCCCGCTCAAATAATCCAGGCTTGTCTCCCCATCCCAAGACCCTTAATTACATCTGCAAAGTCCCATTTGCCGTGTGAGGTCCCATATTCACAGGCCCTGGGAATTAGGATGCAAACATCTTTGGGGGCACTATTCTGTCTGCCATAGTCAGTAGACGTTCCTGCCGAGTGATCTTCTCGGGATGTCTGTGCTCCCTCAGGTCTCTGACACAAGCAGTTCCCTGAGGATTTCTCTCAAAGGCCCCCCTGGTGCCTCCCCCACAGCCCCCAACCCCTGGCAGGGAGCTCCTGATGCTGACCTGGTCATCAATCTTCCGCTGCAGCTGGACCACTTTGTTCTCCATGCCCACGTTGAGACGTTTCAGGTGCTCTGCTGAGCGGGCCTCGATCTTGAGGGCCTTCAGCTCCTGCTTGGCCTTAAGCATGCGGAAGGCACACTGGATGACGATGGCCGCGCCCCGCAGCCGCTGAAAGCGCCTACGTGCCACCCAGCCCCGCACGTGCTTCTGGAGGATGGTGGCCTTGTGCTCCATGAGGACCTGGTAGGGACAAGCACACACCTGGTGGGTTTGCACTGCAGGACAGGAATGAGGGACGCTCACACACTGCCTGGAGACAGGAAGAGCCAAGACTGGCCTAGTTTTAGGAGGTGCAGAGAGGACATGCCTAACAAAGTTTTGGTGGCTATTTGTTTCATGAACAAGTTTTAACTAAGTTCTGCAGCAGCCTATCTACCTGCAGAGAGGCAGCTGTTAAACTCTTGTTTTTAGTAGTTTGTTTTATTGGTTAGGGAACCACAGCATAAAAACCTCCCAATTTGGAGGGACCTGAAGATAAACCCTGCTGGCATCTTCCCATTCAACAGATTCAGCTCCCCTCCCTGGTGATGGGGAGCCCGGGGGATGAGATTCTCTAGTCAGAGTCCATGATGAGCCAATGACTTATAGGTACAAATATGGCTTGTAATTCACTTTCCTTTTTCTATCAAGTTACCAACCACTCAGAAAACGAGATCCTCAATGTGTCTACCCTAATGCCTTAAAAAAGTATTTGTGGGATAAATGAATAAACGAGCAAATATGCCCAGTATCATAGCTCTAAGATAGAGCTGGGTTCAAGCCTAGTGCCTCCCAAATGTCATGTGCCCCTTCCCTGAGGACATCACACAGATGTCACTGATCTCCCAGGAACGTTCACAGAACGACCTCCCACTGACCTGGGTTTCCCCATCTTACATCACTCGGTGCCACCCTGATGTCTGATCACATTTGATTTTTCACGGTCACTTCAGTGTTTTATTAGAAAATGAGACCTTCTCTGACCATAAAAGAGAAAAATGTTCTCTTTAGGAAAAAAGAATATTTTAGACCTTTCCTTCCAATCTGTCCTTCATCCTAGCTTTGGGCTTCAGCTGTATCGGAGTGATATGCTGGAATGGCTGTGTCCTGACTCAAGGCTACTGGGTAACTCGGCTTCGCTGGAATAATGGCCTGGCAGGGAGGTCGGGGTCCCGCTGCCCTGACCTTACCTTGCTGGGCTTCAGAGTCCTAACCCACTAAATGAAGCGGTGAGACCCGATGATACCTCATATTGCCCTCTGCTCTCAAGTCTGAGCGAGCCCAAGACAGGTCACCAGGCTCTGCCACTGGCTGACCAAGTGCCCTTGGGCAGGGGACAGCGTCCCCGAGCATCTCAGCTGTCAAAGGAGCATGACGACACGCACCCATCCAACCTATGATGGTTACTCTCACGTGTGGACTTGCCAGGCCTCACGGTGCCCAGATTAAACACTGCTTCTGGTGTGTCTGAGGGCGTTTCTACAGTAGATGAGCATCTGAATGAGTGGACTGTCCTCCCTGCAATGTGGGAGGGCATCATCCCTAAGGGCTCAAAGAGAACAAAAGGCAGAGGGAAGGGGAATTCGCCCCTTTCCTCCTGCCTCACTGCTTGAGTTAGGACATCATTTTCTCCTGCACTGGGACTGGGATTTACACTATTGGCTCCTCTGGTTCTTAGGCCTTCAGACGTGGACTGATTTACACCCCTGCCTTTCCTAGGCCTCCAGCTTATAGATGGTAGATTATGGGACTTCCCAGCATCCATAACCATGTAGACAATTTCCTGAGAGTCCCCATATTTGTATACACACACACACACACACACACGGTCTGTTTCTCTGGAAGATTCTAATATACTATACTTTATGGGACTTTGAAAGGACTCAGTGGGAGCAAAGGTGTCAAATCACTTAGAAGAAAGTTAGGAGCACACCCACAATGTTCGTGGTGGCGACAATCCATTTGCTGCTGCTTTGACTCCCAGTCTGCAGCCCCTGAGTCCCAGGGGCAGGGCTGGCGGGGTGGGGGGTGGGGGGAGTGGCTACACACCTGCTGGTAGATTCTCCGCACGAACATGCCCCGAGTGAAGGCCTGGATGGTGACGGTGGCCCTGTGGACCCTCTGGTAGGCCAGGCGGGCCCTCCGCATGCGGTACTGCTTCTGGAGCATGATGGCTGCTCGCGTCCTCCGCAGATGCTCGGCCAGCCTGGGGAGGGAGAGCACAGGCGGGCCCTGCTGACGGAGGCCTGGGAGCCGTGTGGGAACGCAAGCCATGTGCTTGGACGCTCCAGGCTGAGCCCATGTTGATCACGCTCTCAGAACACAGCAATGCCACAGGTACCTGGAGCTCAGGCCCTGAATGGCAGCATGAGCATCTTCCGTGTTGTCTAAGAGGTCTTCCCAAAAGTTTAAAGCTCAGTCTGAGCCTCCCAAGCCCTGCTCACTCCCCCTCCCGTGAACCCCTCCCACCAACCTGGGCAGTCCCCACTGACACCACGTTTACGCTTCTGTCGGTCTCCGGTACCTCACTCAGCTTGGAGATGCCAACAGCCAGCTCTCAATCATGTCCCCCATATCTAGCAAGGGCCAGGCCTGTAGGTGCTCGGTATATATTTGCTGAATGAATAAAACCTTCACAGGCCTGCACCCTATCTCCCTGCTCTCTCATCTCCCCTGCCCTTTCCGTCTAGGACGCATGAAGCATGGACATCTCTACTTTCTTGTTTCGCTTCTCCATTCCCCACCACACCCCCCAAGTAAGACAGAGTTAGTCTGACACTTCTTACCCTTCAGGGCTTTGTTTGATGCCAGGTGCATAGTAACTGTTCAGAAACTCAGAGTATTAAAAAGTTAGAAAGGCTCTCAGAAGTCCTCTAGCAGAGGAGGAGGGAACCCACGAGCCCCACCCTGCGTGAAGGGAGTCTGGTTCGACAGTCTAACTCTTCGTAGGTACTTTCTCCCTATGTGGGCCCTGCATGTCCCCCGGGGCACGAACTCCCGCAGGGAGAACACAGGCCAACTCTGTTTTAGGTTCTCCCTGTCCTCTGGGTAAGACAGAGTTGCACACACAGGGGCACTCAGCAATGACTTGGCTTATGGGCACAGACTGCTGACGATTACTTAGCGTTGGTGCTACTGACAACTTTCTATTTCTATAGCTTTTGTTCCAGAGATCATCTCTTGGTGATTCAGAGGTGATCAGTGGCATTCATCATCTCTGGTTAAGCCCGGGGAAACAGCCTACAGCAAGGATGTGAAGGCCAGCATGAGCAATCTCGAACTTTCGGATACAAAGGATGCCTGATCTGGCTTGTAACTCAGGGGCTTTTTTTCCTTTTAATGTTCCAGCAGAAGTGACTGAACAGCCACTTGTCAAAGTTTGACTTCCAAATGCAAGACTTCATGGAATAAGGAAATCCCTACATCGTGAGCTCGTGGATCTAGAACGAGGGGTGGGTCTCGTGGGAGGCTGTGTCCCACGTGCCCTCTCGGTGGAGAGGCTTATCGACCCAACGAGACCAGGTGGGAGGGAAAGTAGTTTGGGCTGCATGGTGCTGGGCTGCTCTGCCCCTGCATAGCCACCTGTGGCTAAAGTCATACCCTCAGTACTGGCTCCAGGCAATGAATCTACCTAAGGACCTTCCCAGGATCTTTCCAGCTCTCATTCCCAAACTCCTGGGGGATTTGGAAAATGGTGCTGTAAAATAAAGAAGCTTAGTGGAAGGGGTGAAGGCTGAATTGGTCTTTTTTTTCTAAAAGAAGATTACTTTGGGATTTAGGCAAAGGGAAAATAGTGGTTTTGTGGCACACAGGGCCCATCCTAGATTAGTACTGGTGGGATGGGGACAGACTGGGAGAACCAGGAGACTTGGAGCTAGACTTACTCCCTCAGGTGAGAAGGGCGCAGGAGACATGTACCCAGTTCATGAGAGAAAGCTGGGTGCAGAAAGAACCACTCTAATCAGGCTGAGGCAGTCCAACCAACCAAGCCCCCCTGCCCCGTGAGCTGACACACCAGATGTGCCCCAGTTTGGCTCACCTGCGGGCCAGGAGCCCTCGGCAATACCGCTGCAGAGTTAAGGTAGTGGCCTTCAGCCTGCGGTATTTCACCTTCTGCAGCCAGCCCCGGACGGTTTTCTGGATCATGATCGTGGCTGCCCGGAACTTGTCAGCCCGAAGCTTCTCCAGGTAAGCCACCTGGCCTGCCCGGAAAAAGATCTTGGTGCGGCCAAACTGGAACTTGTCGGGATCCTTTACAAAGCAGGGAGGGGAGCATCAGTGAGGTAACATACCCTACCATCCAGTCTTCCATGCAGCGTTCCCTGGTCAGAGCTTGGATACCCCTGCTCCTGAGACACACCCCAACTCTCAGCATTCACTGAACAGACACTAAGTCCCTACTACTAGACATGGGGTTACTGTGCCCAGGCCGCAGCACTGAACAAGATGCCTGCCGTCAGGCAACTGACATCATGGTGAGAGGAGAAAGGCAAGCGAACCAAGGCAAGGTTTTCAGGCAGCGAAGATTCTGAAGACAGTAAAACTTGGGATTTAAGGGTGGGATGGGGATGCTTAAATAGGGTAATCTAGGAAGGCGTTTTTATGGAGGTGGTATTTGAGCAAAAACCTAAATAAACTAAAGGAGGCATCCCCAGAAGAGTAGAACAGATGCAAATGTCCTGTGGTAGCAAAAGCTGGGTATGTTTGAGGAACAGGAGAGTCAGGAGGGTCAAGTGTGGGGGCAGAAAGAACAAATCACCAAAGGCCCCGCAGGCCACAGTACACAACTGGGATGGAAAGCCCCTGGTGGTGCTCTGAGCAAGGAAATGACCCGCTCAGATCATTTTACAAAGATTATCCTCAAATGGCCACACCATTGTATGCATAATTTCAGATTGCATATAGCTCTCCAAAAAAATTTTATTTCACTTCAGACTAGGTCTTGAGATTTGACATATAATTACTGTCTTAATTGTATCTAATTAGGTTAATGTTAATTACCTTTCCCTGTGCTCACCCCTGTGGCTAAGGAAAGACGACCCAGCAGTGTGCTTGCAGACAAGTTGGGGTAGAGTACTTGATAGTTAACCCGCTGTAACTGAGTGCTCTTCGTAGATAAACTCCTATCTAATTTTGTTCATCGGCACGAAGACCATAAGGAAGAAGTAATGAGCCAAGGTCTAAGAAAAACACACACATGATAGAATGTCTCAGGTTGACAAATGGCTCTGAAATAATGCTGAATCACCACGTTTTACAGGTTCCTCACACAGGCAAGATGAAACTGCCTAAGCTGGGACACAGTGTCTAGCTGGACGGTCGCCGACTGTCCCCATTCACAGCCAGGCCACAGGCGGAGCTGGGAGAGGTTAGGTGTGGGACTGGTCCTCATCCCTGCCTCTGTTCAGGGCCATGTGCCCAGTGGGCCCTCAGCACACGCTGGGAGGGATGGGCTGGATGAGGGGAGAAGCCCCCAGGCAGCTGAGGCCCTGCCTTCATCACTGCCCTACTGGCCAGGGCTCCCTCTCAGTGAAGAGGGGCTAGGGAGCAAAAGGTGGGTGGCTCAGCCCTCACAGTCCGGAAAGACGCCTGGCAGCTCAGGCTTCAGCAGAGCCAGGGCCTGGGGGTGTCTGCTGCATCCCAGGAACCAGAGCACAAACGCTTGTTTCCTCTTCTGGAAAAACCACCAGGAAGGGTATGACTTGGTCTGCAAAGCCACTGTTTTCATAAGTAAGGATCCTTCTGAAGGTCCCACCTGCTGTAGCCAGTCACCACTAGCCTGATGGCCACTCTCTCCTCAGCCCACGTGTCTGGGGCACGTCCCCTACCTCAGACCTGCTTTCTCTAACCCTCGGAACTTGCTGACGACACCGTTCACATACCACTCAATCAGGGGTGATCTTCTGAGAGCTCCTCTAAGAATCATAGACTGAGGGGGCAGAACGGAATCTCAGCAATCCACCCCAAGCCACTCCTTTTACCTCACGGATGCCAAGACCAAAGCCTGGCATGCAGGGACTCCCAGGCCAGCGGTCTCTCGCCGCACCACGCCCCCTCTGCAACACCATCTCCTCTCCGCATGCCGTGCACACAGATTTCCTTACGCTCCCTGGACTCCCAGCGGACGCTTGCTAATATTCTGCTCCCCTGTCACGATCAAGGCTCAGGTCTCCATAATCTGATTCCCTCCGGTGGGGTCTATAATCACACCAGGTACTAGCATCCTGGAAGGCAGGGCGCATGTGTTATGCTCTTTTATAAGGCTCACGGTGAGCGACCATTCTAGGTTAGAGTACGTAGAAAGGATGCAACACACGCTGGTGGGATTAAAGAATAAACAAACTCCAGTAGGGGATGAAGGGCATTCCTACAATCCCTGTAGGAGGAGACAATCACTCATGAACGACCTCATGAAGCTGGCCCCAGGCTCCCTCCCATTAAACTCCCAGCTATTAAGCACCTGTTGCCTGGCCCACATGCCACCGGCTTCTCTCCTCGTCACCGTGTTCTAAAATGCACTGGCACTTGCTTGGTGCTGGCAGGTGCCCTTCTAGGCTAACATGTAGCTTCACCCTAGGTAGCACTGGTGACTAGAAGATGAGGCCCCCAAAAGGGGAGGGAAACAGGAAATACAAGGTCCCCGGAGAAGTCTTGAAGCACTGATCCCTATTCTTTCTGCAGAAAGGTTAGTTATGCACGGTGACATTAGTCAATGAGACTGGCTCAATGGGCACTGTGATTCAGAGTGGCTGCGGGGTGTTGAGCCGGTCCACCTGTAACACCTTGGGGAACTTTGATCGGCTCTCCATACTTCAGTTTCCTCATCTACAAAATGAGCAAGACGCTTGCATCCCCCTAAGGCGCCATGCGAGTACTGGAAGAGGGATGTGAAGGGTTAAAGTGACTCCTAAGTGCTTCATAACCATGAGCTATTAGTGGCAGGTGACAGTCGTGACTGCCCCTCCCCCCACCCCCCAAGCTGGGAACCCATGCAGCCACCTGCACAAACTCAGAGCTCCTGTAAGAACCAGTCATGGTGCCAGGGACACAACAGCGGGATCCCTGACATTTCAGTGTTCATAGTCTGGTGAAATGACAAACTCTCAACTGCAAGACAAGGGGGTAAGTAAATGCAATAATGGAAGACAGAAACGGAGTGCTGGTGGCCAAAAGAGGACGGGGGTCGCTAACTCCTTCTGGGAGATCAGAACAGGCTTTGAGGACCAGAAGGCATTTTAAGAGCCCAGTCGTGAAGGAGGGTGGAACCTAGGCAGACAAGAGGAAGAAAGTCTCTCAAGCAAAGGAAACGTCACACATTCATACAATTTTCGTTAGGGTATACACTTAGTTCGTTCCAAATGCTCCAGCTGTGATCGGCTCACTGCTTATAACCAGGGGCTGGGCATTAACACAAAGACTGTCCTCTGCAGTAAAGGATACATGTGTCTGCAACACAGGACACCATGCACCAGGCTTCTGGTCAACGGCAGGCTATTTATTAGTGGCTTACTTTTAGGAAGTCTGAAGTTATATGTGAATTTTTTTTTTTAATGTGTGTGGCGGGGGTGGGGGTGATGCCCTTTACACCTACAATGTGTGAGAGTGAACTGTATTTAAAATTGAAAATTTTTTGATCTAGTTCTCTCCACTACGTTACCTTTCGGAAGGGAAGATGTTTGATGTAATCTAACCCTTTATCAAGACCATTTTTACCATGTCCTGCTAGAATCCCTGAATACTGTGGAGCTAATATTTAGGATACACCCCTCACAAAGGGCCCCAAAGTAGCTCCAGTCTCAAGGCTCAGGTTTGAGTTCAGGTTGTGTTAATTACATCTGTTGCCTTATTTAAAACAAGCCTTTAGGGGAAGGCCGGAGGCCAGCTGTGCAAGAAGAAGATAGGAAAAGTGCACCTATTTTCCCAAATGCTGAATTCCAAGCTGTGCCTGGGCTAGGTCAGAGCCCCTGGGCAGGCGTGCAGTGTGGGCAGATAATATGGAGCCTCAGGCTTTGGAGAAGCCAGAGCCACAGGCCAGTAGCGGCTTCATCACAATACGTACAAACATTTTTACTTTTTACACGTGCCGAGACATGAAAAAAGTCCGCCATATACGTGAAGGGACTTCTCTTTTAAAGTCGCTGATGGTGGAAAATGGATGAGCGTGTCAAACAGTTTTAATAAGAAAGATGAAGACCACGAGGGCTGATCACTCCCCCAATTCCCAAGGCATTCCGGGTAAGCCTCCAGGGGTGCACCAGCTCACCTTGATGAGGCTTTCCAGGACAGATCTGCAGATGGCCTTTTTGTCTGTGTTGGCGAGCTCTCTCTTCTTGACCAGCACCCGATACCGGTTGAAGAAGTCGTGGTAGGCCCACCTGGAGGGAAAGCAGGTGCGTCAGGTGGCATGGCCTGCCTCCCAGCCACAGAAGGGCCGCAGCCATCTCAGTGCCCCATAGGGTCGCTAGTCCCGGCATAAAGCTGTTCTCGGAGCAGTAAAAAACCATTCCTGGACATACTGTCTTCCTCCAATGTGAGAATTTCAGTGTGTGGCTGACTTATACAGTCATGAGTGGAAGAGGGAAAAGGAGGGTTTGGAGGTCTCTCTGGGAGGACTGACCAGAGGCCGGACCACTCACGGGGTTTCTGCCCAAGCACGGAGCTCCCCTTGGCTGCTAGAGGAGGAACCTTGCCTGGGACACAGCTTGGTTTTAAATGTTGGCTTTCTCTCATAAAGTTAGTACTTCTCGTTGAAGACTTTTTTTTTTAAGTTTGTTTTGAAAGAAAGAGACACAGCATGAGTGGGAGAGAGGGGAGAGAGGAGAGAGAGGGAGACAGAGAATCCCAAGAAGGCTCCACAATCAGTGTAAAGCCCGACACAAGGCTCGAACCATGCAACTGTGAGATCATGACCTGAGCTGAAACCAAGAATCGGAAGCTTAACTGACTGAGCCACCCAGGCACCCCATTTACATGCAGAAAATACACATCAGCAAATAAAAGTTGGCCTTATCCTAACCCCCAGTGACACTACCACTCACACATTTTGGTATACGTTAGAAGAAATCTTTTAATTTTGACATTTGTTTTTGAGAGAAAATACGAGCAGAGAAGGAGCAGAGAGAGGGGGACACAGAATCGGAAGGCTCCAGGCTCCTATCTGTCATAGAGCCCGACATAGGGCTTGAACCCACGAACCACGAGATCATGACCTAAGCTGAAGCTAGATGCTTAACCGACTGAGCCACCCAGGTGCCCCAGAACCATCTTCCTGCCCAAAGCAGATTTCACCTATCATTTCTCCTGTTTCATTAGAGTAATGTGAGACAACCATGAGGTATTCAACTCCCAATTAAAAACAAAACAAAAGCAAAAAACCCAGAGCACTCACAATCCCGCCACCTTTTCAGTAATTGTGCTTTGGTATGTTCTGGAAGGGAATCTTTCAGAAGGCCTCAAGGCTGTCTCTCGGCCTCTGAGGAGATCTCTACTTAAATCTTCCTTCACACAGATGTTCACTCTGACCCTCCATGCTCCTTCCCTGTTTCCGGCTCACAACCTCCTCACATCACACATTCTGTTTCTACACAGTTCTACTCTAAGGGGACAGAATTTCCCATCTGAATCCCTCTGCAGGTGAGCTCGGCCATCCGTCCCCATCGGTTCTGCATCCTCGGCAGAGGCATCCGTCAGCCCCAGCTCGCCCCGTCAGAGGCATCAGGGGCTGCCATACACGCCCTGTCTGTGGGAACACACGCGGTTCTCGTCGCCTGTTTGGGAATCATTTAGGTGCTGCCTCCAGATTGTGCATCTGAGGCCTGGCTGAGTGTCCAGTGAACTCCTTCATCTCATTCTCATGTGTTACTTGGGGTGGGGGGCGCCTAGGTAGCTTGGTCGGCTGAGCATCTGACTCGATTTCAGCTCAGGCCATGATATCATGGGTTCTTGAGATCGAGCCCCACATTGGGCTCCGTGCTGACGTGGACCCTACTTGGGATTTTCGCTTTCCTCCCTCCCTCCCCAGTGCATGCATGCGTGCTCCCTCTCGTAATAAATCAACATTAAAAGATATTTACCAAATAAAAATTTTTCAAGAAGTATTATTGAGGAGTAAATGGATTGTACCCCTTTCTCCTGAAGCACATTTGCCTTTAAATGGGGTCCTCCAGAAGTTTCATGAGAAAAACGGAGCACGGTGGAATATCAGGAACTCCTGCTGGGTGGTGAGCAGGGCACGCTTGGCAGGCTGGTTCTTTTGGAGCTCCTCCTTGCGCTCCACAACCATCCGCCAGCGTGGGCCTCCTTCGGGTCCCCCTCTCTCCCGGGCCATGCTCCTCAGCACCCTGGGAGGCAAAGGGAAATGGAGACCAAGCTCCCTGCCTCTCCATCACCTTCCTTGGTTCGGTGGCAGGTGTCTAACAAAGCTACGGGTATCGGAGAGGGTGTCAGCCTAAGAGCAAGTAACAAAAAGCATTCTCCCCTTTACGTTTTTTACAGTGTAAAAGTGCTGTTTAGAAGTTCTGCAGTTTATAACTTTTATTGAGATAATTCACATACCATAAAATTTTAAAGTGGACAAAAGATTTTAGTATATTTGCAGAGTTGTGCAACCATACCCAATATGGAGTTCCAGAACATTTTCACAGTCTCCTGCAAAGCTCCCATTCCCATTATCAGTCATTCCCCCCCCCCCTTCCTTCGGTGGGAGAGCAGAGAGGTGCTAGGAGCCGCTGAGGCCTCTTGTAGGTCTGGGGAAAGGTTCCTGCTGCCCTTATGCCCTTCACTGACTGAGCTCAAGTTGTTTCCTGACCCTCCAGCTGCAGAGGGGCTGTGAACCAAGCCCACCGACTCCCAGGCCATCTCAACAGGCAGTTTTTAGGTTATTTTGGAGAGAGAGCACAAGCAGGGGAGGGGCAGAGAGAGCAGGACAGAGGATCTGAAGCAGGCTCCGTGCCGACAGCAGTGAGCCCGATGTGGGGCTTGAATTCACGAACCGCTAGATCATGACCTAAGCTGAAATCGGATGCTCAATGGACTGAGCCACCCAGGAGCCCCTAGAACAGGTGGCTTTAAACGTGGAAACATGTAAGGCTATCTACCTAGCTAAATGCTGCTTCAATTATTCCAGTCATGTACCATAAACGTCAAGAAAACTTCTGAGGTCTGACCGATCTCAATTCTGGAGGCCTAGGACCAGAGCTGGAGCTGATAAGCCACAAATCAGATGTGCGTTTTTGACACATGCAAATGTTACTGGACTTCTGAGCTCTTTCTGCCCCCAACCCCCAAGTTTTAAAAACAGGCCTCGCTCTCTGATACTTCCACGTTGGGTAAGATGCAAACAGAATGATGTACACACAGAAAAAGGGCTTTGTGAAGTCTTAAGTCGTCTTCTTCCTCTGCTCGCCCATCAACATGTGCCTTGTCATGCATCTGTTCCTGTCCACAGGGAGATGTGGGCTCTCCTTTGAAGCCAACTCAGCACCTTGTGTGTGACTTTCTGCGGGCACCTCCCCCACCCTGCAATACAGTTATTTGTGTACTCACTCATCTTCTCTCTCCCTACGAGTTTGCAATTTCTCTGGGGGAATAATCAGAGCAGCATTTAGCTGGGCTAAAAACCTCAAACGGTTCTAATTTGAAGATCTCTTAACTGCTGACAGTTCCATAACTCAGGGAGGTTACAGGCTCAAGGAAATGACAAGATGGTAGGGAGATGTGACTGCAAAGACACCAAGGCCAGTACAGAACGAGCTGGGAGTACAGAAGCCAAGAAGCCTGCTCTGACACGGACAGGATGTGACCTTAGGCAAGTCACATCCTGGATTCATCCCACATGGATGTCTCCAAACTGGAGAGGACATCAAGTGCCTTGCAAAGTACCTCCCACACTTTGGTGGCCAAGGAGTTCATGCATGTGGACTGCTTAGAAAGCTTCCCAAAATCTAAGGTCTCTCCCTTCCCACCTAATGCTCTCCCCCCTATTCTTACAAAGGCTTCATTGGATACTGGCACCAGGGTGACACTGATGGGGGAGGAGTGTGCCTGCAGCAGACAGACCATTCGCTGAGAAGGGCTTGGGCAGGTACTCCCTCATGAGCTACCAAAGGGGAACGTGGCCACCATGGGGTCTGGGCACATACAAGTGTCCTTCAGCCAAGGACCCAGAATCAATTGTGGATTCCCTTTTCCGTGAAACTCTGTGCTCTTAAAGTCTTTGCATGAAAGGCTCCCTCACTTGTAGAAGGAAAACTTTCCAAGCAAAGCTAAACAGAATACGTGATTAGTTTTCCAAAAGTAGCGTTTCTTAACAGAACTTCCTGATTTGGTAGGAACATCTGGATGGAGGTTTTTTGTGGTCATGTAAAAATTAGGAAGACCCTCTACAGGACCACAGGGTGTCCAGGATTTCCACTTGAGGTACTCTACCCACCATGGAATCTCCCTCCCTCAGCGTTTTCACGGAGATGTGGGATACAGAGCTTTATGCCTTCTCCACAAGATAGTTTTTATACATATGTTAGCTTCTCTGCTAGACTCTGGACACCCTTGGCTGGGTAAGGCTACATTTTTAAACTTCTTTGCACCTTTCACGGTATCTTCATACACACGTTTTAAAAGAATAAGTATTTTCCTGACCAATAAAATGGTTGGAATCCCAACATTAAATCTTTTCTCTTTACTAGCATTTCTCCCAAAGGGCACTATTGGCTTTGGGGCAGGACAATCCTTTTGGGCTCAAATGGACACAAAACATCTTCAGACCATCACCTGCTACTCCATTTGCTGAAATATGCAAAAATGTTCCCTTTTACAAAATCTTTATTCTAGAACATACTTCTGGTCTAGAAAACCACCATCTTGAGAACCAACCCTGCCTACCATCTGCCTCTACAGTGTGAGTCCATTGCTTCCATTCCTGCTCTTTCTGCCCTCCTCAGGTGGCCCTGGACAGGTCCTCCCCCACTCACAGCATGGCTGTGTGGCTCATGGGTCTGGATGTATCCTTTAAGCCAATCCTGAGCCCAGCTGCTCTTCCATTTCACGTTATTGCTGGTAGAAGAGCTTCCATCCTTAGTCTATTACCAGGCCCCAATAGTGGCTTCAATCCTGGGTTATACAGAGTCATAGTGGCCTCAGGGACAGAAGTCACATTCATCCCAGCTCTCCCCGGAGTTGGACTCACAGGCAAGGGGCCTGGCTGGATGTCCTGGACATCAAGGACATACCCTGTGTGTCCCTGGCCTGCTAGGGAGATGTGTAGATCTGGTAAAGTCGTCACAACTGGGGGTGTGATTGCTCCTGGTAAGAAAGGGGAGATCAGAGGCAGAGGCAAGGCTGGACAGACACTTCCTGGTAACTAGCTCCAAGGCTCAAG